GGAAATAGGACTTGATTGCTTTTACTGGAGGAAACGACATTACGAATTTTATTGAATGCTCAATAGTCTTGCCATTTTCCCTGAGTTTGCCTGAGACAGCCACTATGGAGATCAGTGTGGTGGTTCTCAGGAAGATGGGAATTGATCTTCTTTGGGATCTATCTATGCCACTCTTAGGGATGTACCCAAGGGATGCATCATCCTACCATAGGCACATTTTCTCTATCTTGTTCATTGGTGCTCTATTCATGATGGTCAAAGTTTAGAAATGGCCCTGATGTTCCTCAACAGAAGAAATGGATAAAGAAAGTATGGCATATTTACAGAATGGAGTATTACTCAGCCATAAAAAAAAAGACACCATGAAATTTGCAGGCAAATAGAACTAGACAAAAATCAACCTGAGTGAGGTATCCCAGACCCAGTAGGACAAATATGATATGCATTCACTTATATATGGATCTTAGCTGTTAAGTCAATGATAACCAAGCAACAATAGAATCACAGAGGGTAGTTATAAAAGAGTACAGATAGGTCTTGTTAGGAAAGGGAAATAGAAAAGATAATATATAATTATAATTATGGATGGGTGAGGAGTAAAGGGATCAAGTAGGAAGGGGAGAGGAATTGTGGGAAGGAATACAGCTAAAATTTAGGGGCATTTGAGGAGTAATATGGAAACCTAATATAGTAGAAGATTCCTAAAATATATACATATAAGGAGGTGATCTAAACAAATTTGCTAAACAATGGGGAAGACAGTCACAACTGGCCATCTTTTGTCACCAAATAGTTTCCTGGGATTGGGTTACGTTTAATTGAGTTGTTGGCTGAAGAAATGCTGTGGGAACTACCAAACAACCCAGGCTATTGTCAAGACTGTAAGTGTCTCTCCACAAACTGACAGCAAGACACTATTGCTGAAGACAACATCTACACAACTCACTGAACATGAAGAGGTCAAGCTGGTGCCTACACAGAGCCTTCAACCCTATGTTCTAGTGTCCCTGAAACAGGAGCATACTCTGCATGCTCCCAAAAACATAAAAACCAAGCCAGCCACAAACCCCTTGATCTATCACTGTGTCCTGTCTGCAAGATATGCTAGTGCTGCTGGGACCTGGTGGTGTACAACTTTAATCCTAGGACTTGGGAGGCAGAGGTAGGTGGATTTCTGTGAGTTCGAGGCCAGTCTGGTCTACAAAGTGAGTTCCCAGGCAGTCAGGACTGTTACACAGAGGAAAAACCGGTCTCAAAAGACAAACAAATATGGTACTGCAATGGTGGCGCAGACTGTGGGAGTAAGCAGCCAATAACTGATTTGACTCAAGGCCCACTCCATGAGATAGAACTCATACCTAATACTGCTTGGGTGACCAAGAACCAGAGACTAGATAACCCAGGGGCCTAGAGTAAATCCAAATACTACTGGTCTAAAAAAACCAAAATACCCCAAACCAAAAAAATCCCTGTAGTGATACAATGACTCCTGCTGATATTCTGTGCCATTCATAGGTCAGTTTCTTATCCAGCCATCATCAAAGATGCTTCCTTCTGCAGCAGATGGGGACAAACAGAGACCCATAGCCAGTCATGTAGAGAGTGAGAGACTTTGGAACACTTAGCTTTAAACAGGATGTCTCCATCAAATCCCTTTCCTCAGTGTTCAGAGAACCCCGCAGAAGCGGAGGCATAGAGTACTAAGAGCCAGAGGGGATGGAGGACACCAAGAGAACAAGGCCTTCTAAATCAACTGAGAAAAGCCCATGTGAACTCACAGAGACTGAGGTAGCATGCACAGGGCCTGCTCTGGTCTCTATACACATATTATGGTTTCCAGCTTAGTGCTTTTATGGGATTTCTGAGTGTGCAAACAGGTGGGTGTCTGATTTTTGTGCCTTTTGTTGGGATCTTTACCTTCCGTTGGTTTGTCCTATCCAACTTCCATGTGTTTACTTTTGTATCATATTATCTCTTAGAAGCCTGTACTTTCCTAATAAGAGACAGAAAGGGGGTGGGTCTAGATGAGAGGGAGAGAAGGAGGGAGCCTGGGAGGAGTGTAGGGAGGGGAAACTATAATCAGGATATATTATATAAGAAAAGAATCTATTTTCAATAAAAGGAAAAGAAAAGGTCCTAGTATAAAAGACAGTAGAGTAGAGCAGTGTGCCTACTTTCTGCCCCACTGCTGTGTTGGGCATTTTATCCTCCTTCTATTGTTAATTTTTCAGCACATATCTTTTGTCATTTTTGAATTTCTTTATTTGTGTGCAAATGTGTCTGAACACACACACGCCAAGGTATTTTGTGTGGAGGTCACAGGACAGCTTTCAGGATTCGGTTCTCTTCTTCCACCATGCGGGCCCTGGGGATTGAACATGGATCATGAAGCTTGGCAGAAAGTGCCTTAACCTCCTAAGCCATCTCTCCAGATGAGGTCTCTTTTAACACAATCATCACTAACAATCCACATACTTTAGGCAATAATTTACTCACAAAGGAAAGACACCACCAACTTTATTAATAACCAACATTTTTATTAGAGCAGTTACAGTTGTGGAAACTGTACATTATACATTTTGGTTTCAAGGATTTTATATAAATTAAGGAACTCACTGGCAGGGAGTTCTTTTTCACAGCAAGAAACTTTAAATAACAAAGTCATGTTTTATTAAGTACATTGGCAGACTTCATGTGCTGTCCAAAATGTAGAGTACGGTATAACAACCTATTAGAAAGATCCTTCATGGAAAATACAGCTGTGCACATGTTAGAAAAATACCCACAATTTCAGCTTTGTTTTAAAAAAGCTTATAAATCATATATATATTTATAAACGGAGCCAACATGCTCACTTTATAAACATCCTTTAGTTCTCTGTTGCCCATTATTTTCAAAGCATTACACATTTAAATAAACACTTAAGATTAAATATTCTATTTTCTTTAAAAAAAAAAATCAGCCTTCCCAACATAAGGAGCTACAGGGGTAGGAAGGAGCAGGAAACAATGTGGAGACCCACACAGGGACTTAGTTTGTTCTTGAGTAAAAATGGACTTTCTAAATTTAAAAGTCAAAGCAAACTGTAAAAAATAAATATACAAGTTGTAATTTTATTTTCATTTGCTCTCTTTCTGCCTTATTTAATCCATGTTGGTCACACCCAGGAGTCTTAATATATTGCACTTCTGCAAAAAATAGAAAATAAAAAACAAAAAACCACCACTGGGTTACAACCCTGCAGGTGATTCAGCATGCAGTCCACACCTATGCTGACATGGGAGTTACGCACACTGTCTCTTCTGCACTGAGAAGGCAGCTGAGGGTGAGAGACTCAGCTGACACCATGACGTCATGGTTAAGATCTAGAACAGTTCACCTCCTCAAGGTAAGGCCATCAAGAGACTCAGACATACCTTTCCTCCCCTGATTTTTAAATAAGTATTTTTTTAAAATAAAGATCAAATAATTCCTCTAGGTAAGCATGCTTCTGACTAAATTATATAATAAAAATATCAACATCAGAACAGCAAAAGACAAATATTTAAAATAAAATCATCTATGTTTTTAAAATTTAAAATAAAATTACAAAACAACTTTGAAAAATGTTGAAGGCAGAGAATCGAGGAGCATTGACTTAACAAAGTTTCACCATCTACCTGAATGCATTCAACCAAAATTTGAGGTTGGGGTTGTGGGGGGTGGAGAAAGAGAAGAGGAGCTATTAATAGCATCTTGCTTAACTTTCATGGGAATTAACATAGCCACTGACAAGATTTTATTTGGTTGTAATGTACGTCAGCAATGAAACCGAACCCTTAACCACTGATTACTGCAATCCATGCAACATTTTGACTACACTTCTGTTGTCTTTCAGCTTTTAAAATGAAGCAAGTACCTCCTGAGTGCGTCAACCATTAACCTCAGCAACGTTAAAAATATTTAAAATTAAATTATTTCTTTGAAAGGTATAATACCTTCAGACCACTACATCTTAAAGATAAATAGCATTTTATTGGTTTAGAAAGAATAAACAACATGAAAATGATGTATTGCTATTAAAATAAACAACACTATCTTTTCACTAGTCTTCTGTTGTTACTTTTCCTTGAGATGCAACCTGTGTGTTTTCGTCCAGCCAGGACTGCAGGTGGAAGATGACTATACATATTTAAATAAACAGCAAAAATGAGCAGAGTCGTGCACAAGCAAATAAAACGTTTCCTCCCAGAACACTCCAGGAGATGTTAAAGCAGCAGGTCACTGCAGAAGACTGCTGAGTGACGCTGCTACCTACTTCTTCTAATGAGATAGCAGTGAATGTTGGAACCACGCCTACCGCAACACAATCCTCAGCCCGCATTCCTTGGGCAGTCTTCTCTCCCCAGCTCCCTACTAAAAACGTCAGATGGTAAAATAGTAAGGCAGCTGTTGACTTCCATCAAAAAAAAAAAAAAAAAAAGTTCAAAGTCCATACATTTCCAGTTTAGTCACACTCTGCTAGGACAGATGGAGTAGCCAATGCCAAGAACTTCGCCGGATGGGGCTGCTTCAGCAGATTTTAAAAAAGAATCATTATTAAGCTTTGCTTTCCAACATGGTTGTGTGCATCAGCTCCCAGGGGACCCCAAAAGACACAAAGCATTCTTGGGGGGACTGAACAGGTCCTCTGGCTGCATTTTCCAAGTTTCATCTCTCTCGTGATCCCATCCTAATTCCAGCCTCTTGCCTGAGTCTGACTGGTGTGTGCCGTTTAAAGGGCTGAGGACACCATGGCAGAACTGTGGGCTAATTCCACTAGT